CCGTCCCCCTTATTCCCCCCCCCCCCTCATATCTCCTCAATGACCCCCCCATATCTCCTCCTCACTCTCCACAATGACCCCCATATCTCCTTGTCTGTCTTTTAGTCTTTGCCAGGCAGTCTAAACAACATCCCTCCAGGGCCGATGGGACCATGATGGTGATTCAGCACTCACCTGATTTTATGAGCCGCTCCTGCTTTGGCACCACCCTCCTGCCCAGGCGGGGGCTGCGGGTAGACGGGGAGGAGGCGGGTGAGTTGGGCTCGGAGTTGGGGTCACAGACATACCCTCTCTGGAGGAGGATTTCGCTGGCACACACATGGCACACAGTGTGCTTACACGGCAGGATGACAGGGTGCTTGTACATCTCCTTACACACTGGGCACAAGAGCTCACGCTCCATGTTCTTCATACTGGTCTGTGAAGAGAGAGAGAAGACACCCGGATTACCATCACCCCCAAATTCAATGGTTCCACAGAAGTCAGGGGAGCTGGGCGGTGACATCAGCGTGTCGCTGTCCTCCCGAAATCCCCCCGCGGATTACAAACATGACTCTGATGACATCACAGCACCATCCTCCTCCCACAATCCCCTGTAGATTATAAACATGGCTGTGTGATGACATCACCGCACCGTCCTCCTCCCAGAATCCCCTGCAGATTATGAACACACCTCTGTGATGACATCACCGCACCGTCCTCCTCCCACAATCCCTGGCATGATGTTCTGATTGATTATGCAAAGTGTACATGATATTAGGAGACAATTATGGTCATCAAGTGTCACCAGCTGCGGGTCTGGCCATACAGGGATAAAGGGCGTACCAAGATAACAGGTATACCAGGATGAAGGGCATCTTGGGATAATGGGTGTACCAGAATAAAGGGTGTACCGGGATAAAGGGCGTACCGAGATAAAGGGCCTACTGAGATAAAGGGTGTACCGAGATAAAGGGTGTACCGAGATAGAGGGTGTACCGCAATAAAGGGTGTACCGGGATAAAGGGTGTACCGAGATAAAGGGTGTACGGAAATAAAGGGTGTACCGGGATAAAGGGTGTACCGAGATAAAGGGTGTACCGAGATAAAGGGCCTACTGAGATAAAGGGTGTACCGAGATAAAGGGTGTACCGAGATAAAGGGCCTACCTACTGAGATAAAGGGTGTACCGGGATAAAGGGTGTACCGAGATAAAGGGTGTACCACGATAAAGGGTGTACTGGGATAAAGGGTGTACCGAAATAAAGTGCATACGGGATAGGGGCGTTTGGGGATAAAATGGCTGCACATACTCTTCTACATTCATCAGGAAACGTGTCACCCCAACCTGAGCACCACATGGAATGTTACAGCCACATTGAGCCCCACCACCACAAGAGCAATAGCCCCACCACCACCATGAGAGCAATAGGACCACCACCTCCATGAGAGCAATAGGACCACCACCACCATGAGAGCAATAGGACCACCACCACCATGAGAGCAATAGGGCCACCACCAACATGAGAGCAATAGGACCACCACCACCATGAGAGCAATAGGGCCACCACCACCATGAGAGCAATAGGGCCACCACCTCCATGAGAGCAATAGGACCACCACCACCATGAGAGCAATAGCCCCACCACGACCATGACAGCAATAGGACCACCACCACCAGGAGAGCAATAGGGCCACCACCACCATGAGAGCAATAGGGCCACCACCTCCATGAGAGCAATAGCCCCACCACCACCATGAGAGCAATAGGACCACCACCTCCATGAGAGCAATAGGACCACCACCATGAGAGCAATAGCCCCACCACGACCATGACAGCAATAGGACCACCACCACCATGAGAGCAATAGGGCCACCACCACCATGAGAGCAATAGCCCCACCACCTCCATGAGAGCAATAACCCCATCACCACCATGAGAGCAATTGCCCCACCATGACCATGACAGCAATAGGACCACCACCTCCATGAAAGCAATAGCCCCACCACCTCCATGATAGAAATAGGGCCACCACTGCCATGATAGAGTTATAGAGTTAGCCCCACCACTGCCACGAGAGCGATTGCCCCCCCACACCCCACTGCCATAAGAGCGATAATCCCCCCCATGGAAGAGATAACCTCACCACCACCATGATAGAGTTAGCCCCACCACTGCCATGAAAGCGATAATCCCCCCCACTGCCATAAGAGCGATAGCTCCACCCCCATGGAAGAGATAACCTCACCACCACCATGACAGCAATAGCTACACCGTCACCATGAGAGTGATAGCCCCACCACCACCATGACAACAATCGTACCACCACCTCCATGAAAGCGATATCCCCACCACCACCATAAGAGCGATAGCTATATCCCCGCCATGACATGGATGGTGGCCAAAACAACATGGTCGCCAGGTGTGTTCCTACATCCACCGTCCATGTGAATGGTCTTAGAGGGGGAGTTATAAAGACGGACCCCACTGCGCCATTCTCCCCCCGGCGAGACATTTCATTGGTCATCGGAGGATTTATAAATGTCGCCTTGGGATGACATCGCCTCCGAGGCACAAAAGTCCTATCTTTACGTTTCACCTCCATTCTCTCTCAGGTGTATCATACCCTCTCCCAGCTGCATTATACGTGCGGCCGGGTTACACGATCCCTGCGTCACGCCCTCCCGGGGTCCCTCCCTGTCTGCTTCACCTTGTTCACTCTCCGAGCTGCCATGTCCTCCCAGGTTGACATAGAGAGAGGGAGGGACTCTGCAGCTCCTTCTCGTCCCCGGGAAAATGGAGGATGCAGTTGCCGTGGCAACCACTAGATGTGCTGCAGCTTCAGCGATGGC